CTCCAGTTTCATCCATTTATGAGCAAATGCCATAATTTCATTCTTCTTTATGGCTGAATAATATTCCATTGTGTGTATGTACCACATTTTCTTTATCTATAGATCTGTTGAAGGGCATCTAGGTTGATTCCATAGTTTAGCTACTGTGAATTGAGCTGCTATAAACATTGATGTGGCCATGTCACTGTTAATATGCTGATTTTAAGTTCTTCGGGTTTATGCTGAGGAATGTGATAACTGGGTCAAATGGTGGTTTCATTCCAAGTTTTCTGAAGAGTCTCCATACTGCTTTTCATAGTGGTTGTACCAATTTGTAGTCTCACCAGCAATGTATGAGTGAACCTTTTCCCCACATTCAGCCAACATATATTGTTACTTGTATTCTTGGTAATTTTATGGCCATAATTTCTTTTCTTTTTAATTTAGTTACATCTAATGATTTTGGTACAGTATTTTGTTTGTTGTTGTTTATTCCAAAAGAGTTTCTAATTTTCATTAGTTTTTTCTTGGGCCTGTGGATTAGAAATAAACAACTTATTACTTCAACATGAGGATTATCTTATTTTTTCTTAGATTTCTTTTTCAAATATATAATAAAATACCTTTTTATTCCTTTTTATGTATCTATCATACCAGCTGTTAATTGGTTAGATTTTGAAATATTTGTGTTTAAAAGAATATGTTTTCTGCAGTTGCATGGTACAGTGTAAAGTTGCTCTGTGGAGAAAATGTTCTGCTTGCTTACTGATTTTTAAGTGTTCTTATTATATTAGTTACTGAATCATTATATTTGAGGTGAGTTTTGGACTATTTTTTTTTAATCCATTGTCAGTCTCTGTCTTTAATTGTGTATTTAGGTCATTTAGTTAATATAAATGCTATAGCTTAAGGTTGCCATTTTATTATTGTTTTGTTTCTTTCCTCCTTGTCGCCGTCTCTCCTTCTATCACTCATTCCCCTTTTCTTTCCTTGTGGGTTCTTGATCTCTTTTTCAGAATTTTAATTCGAATCATCTCTTAATGTTTTTGAGTGCATTACTTTGTATAGTTTTTCAGCAGTTGCACTAGTTTTACACCATACCTTTGTAATTTATCACAGAGTGCTGGTGTTAACATCCATTTACATTTGCTTTTAAGTAAACCACCTTATAACTTGTCCCCTCTATTTATTTATTTATCTATCTATCTATCTATCTATTTATTTATTTATTTTTGTTCTTGCTTATTCTGTTTTCTTCTGATCTTTAAGAGAAAATTTATCTGGGAGGGTTGAAGGAAATCTTGAAATCAAGTCTGCCATTGGAGTATTAAGGGCATGTGTGGTTGAGGATGGTGGTATGGGACAGTAAGGGTTTTGGCTTCCTGAAGTGTGTACTTCCTCAGCTTCATTTTTGGTTGTAATTTTTTTTTAGAATTAATATACATAAAATTTTGCTATTCCTTACCAGCTTTTTCCCCTTAAAGTGTAATAATGTATTCTTTTGTTCATTTGGAATAATTACATATAATTTATTCCAAATTATATTGCCTTCTAAAAGCCAAAATTCATGTAATAAGTTTAATGCTGAAACATATCTTTATCAAACTAGAAGTGAAGGTCAAATCATCAATGAGTACCAGAGATACCTACCTGCACCAAAGGCGATATCAATAATAGAGGAATTTAAAAATTTTGAATTCTTCACATTTTCATCTTTTAAAAAATATGTATTTAGTTGTAGATGGACACAATATCTTTATTTTTTATGTTGTGCCAAGGATTGAACCCAGTGTCTATCACATGTGCCAGGCAAGTGTTGTACCACTGTTAATATAAATTACCCCCGCCCCATATTTTCATCTTAATAAGCATTTCTGAAGCTCTTTTGCACTTTGTTTAAATGTTTCTATAAATTTTCTTTTGGCTTTTGACATTGTTGCTTTAATGCTATTGATGCTTTAAGACCATCCTCTGAAGTAGCATTGTCTTAGTTCTTTGTCTTATATATTATATTTTTAGTAACTCCAAACTCCATGACGTTGTTAAGACAAATTAGTCTCATGTCCAATTTGTGGTTCATTTTCATTTAGGTAATAATAGTTTGACTTCATGGGCTTTTCTTATTGTTGTTCCAATATTCTTGTACTTTTATGCATTCTTTTATTCTAGGTTCTGATTCTCTAGTTATGATGTTTGCAGAGTGAATATAGCCATTAATTCTTTTTTCCACCTCTTTTGAATTATTTGTCTTTTGTCTTTCCTCCGTTTACTAGTACTAAAATGCTTTGATTTGATACTCTAATAATTTTGAGAATCTCATTTTGAAGTGAAATATATGTAAAGTTCAATAAATACTTTTTAAGCAGTTTTCATTCTTTCTCACTTTTTCTTTTCACTACTTTTTTTTAAAAATATTTTTTAGTTGTCATTGGATACAATATCTTTATTTTATTTATTTATTTATTTATTTTTATGTGGTGCTGAGGATTGAACCCAGGGCCTTGCATGTGCTAGGCAAGCACTCTACTTCTGAGCCACAATCCCAGCCTTCACTACTTCTTAGCTGACAAATTTTCAGACTCACAGATAAGTTATATCATTTTGGTTTACTGATGAATATATTATATATAATATTTATGATGGATACATATTATTATATAATGTGTTCATCAGGACAACACTCATACCTTAGTTGTTTCATTTTAAATAAATCTCATGAAATTGTTGTTTTTTTAAAAYAAAAATTGCTTGAGCCAGGTGCAATGGTGCATGCCTATAATCCCAGTGGCTCAGAAGGGTGGGGCAGGTGGATTTTGAATTTAAAGCCAGCTTCAGCAACTTAATGAAACCCTGTCTCTTAAAAATAAAATAAAAGAAAGACTGTGGCTCAGTGGTTAAGTACCCCTGGGTTCAATTCCTGGTATCCGAAAGAAAGAAAGAAAAAGTTTGAATATTGGCAGTTTCATATAGCTCACCTTCTTTATATTGGTCTTTATATGTGATAGCAGCAGTATTATACACAAAAGCTTTGGGGCACTAGGAAGATGGGATGTTATCTCCAGAGAAAAGGACATTAGAGTTAAATATTTGTGATTTCAGGTGACACTAGAATTTTTTTTCTGGCATTTCAAGTCCAGAAATTATTGTAAATATTAATTTGATCTCAGTCATGCATTATATATAAGCTATGTTTGCTGTTATGGTGACATTACATTGACCTACATCCTTTCTTTTAGACATATTTTTTAACAGTCATACTAAAGATCCCTCAGAAGAAAGCATTTGTTTAAATAAAATTTTAGAAGTAGAACATTTCAAAGTAATTAAATGAAAATATTAAGAAGACAACCATGATTGTGCTTTGCAGAATTAGAGTTTGGAAGCACTGGGATTGTAAATGGTCATGAGCCAAAAACCTTTAATGATGGTAGGGTAAAACAGATAGTTATGGTTGACTAAAATGAGTAGAGAGTGATTTAGCTACCTAATATGAGCTAGACAAGAGTAGTGTCTTATGTTAGGATGGAAAACTAATTACAGGAAATGACAGTGAAAAAAGTAGAAATCCTATGACCATGCACATTAAGAATTTCTCAGTTGATCAACTTTATTTGAAAGAATTCTAGGACAGTTATCTTCAAGGAAGAAGAATGTTTTAGTTAAGGTAGTAGTATTTGACAAATTTTAAGGTGGAGGAAAGTTTATTAAGTAGATGGATGAGTAAAAGCATTTGGCAGTGCTAATCACTTTTTTTTTTTTTTAACCCCAGATTTCTCTAATAATATACTGTCTTTTCCTTGGGTTTCGTGGCTTCCATTTGCTTTCTTGCCCTTCCAGTTCATAACACTTCCTCCTTTGCTAATCTCTTTAACATTGATTGATGTTCCTTACTACCCAGACTCTTCTCTTATCCTTTCTGATTATATGGATTGATGTTGGGCAGTTTTACTCTTTTTTTTTTTTTTTTGTACTTTGTTATTTCCCTTGCTCATAGCTTTTGAACCCTCACATATGTAATTATTTTGTCTTTTCCCACTGTTTTCCACTTGGACAAATTCTATTAGTCCTTTAAGGTTAAGTCTTTGATTTAATTTTAATTTCAGATCTAATTTAAGTTATCTAGTTATTCACCCTCCAACCTCCATTCTACTGCTATTTTCAGTGCTTAGGAAAGTACCTAAAATTGGTAAATATTTAAATTAACGTTGTCAATTAGATTACCAGTTGTGCCTGTATTGTCACAGAAAAGAACATGTTAATGCTAATAAATTTTTTAAAAACCTGTTAACCCTTAGCAGTCATTAAAGAAATAACAAAGAGCTGTTTTCAGGAGGTACTATAGCATAGTTGCTAACAGCTTGAATTTTGGAGCGAGATGGCTAGCTCTGATGGATGTCTTGATTTGGCTTCCAGTTCTTCTACTTACTCAAAGGGTGAACAATTGACATGCAGAGTTTTTAAATTTTAATCATTAAATTAGATAATATGAAATATCTTTGAATATCTTGTATTTTTAAGCCACTTATTATCATTGTTAATTTTATTATTGTAAAGTCAGTCCCTGTTGTACTAACTCATTAGTTCCCAGATTTTCAATTCTGTGAATATTTCAGTGAAATTGATACAGGTGTATTAAAATAGGTTGAAATCATGATCTAGAGTGTATGTGTTTCAGTCTATTAAATAATTCTCATTAACATCATTATAAGTATATTCTTGCTGGTGTTGTATATTATATGCTATTTAAGTTTTATTTATATTTTGCATCTGAGATGATGGGGTGAAAAGGGTTAAAGAAATACAATGTAGTGTTTTCTTAAAGACTGACTCTCCATTTGCATTTTAACATTGAAACTTACAGCTGTGAGTTTTATTTGTTTTTGATAATTCTTCATTTCTCCAATTTGCTATTAATTTCCAGTTTTCTAGAAATCATTTGCCAAATGTACAGTTAATTTGTGAATATAGTAATGCCAGTGTGGTTTGGTTTAGGCCTTTTTTTCTTTTTCTTTAATCTGCAGCAACTGGAACAGATCCAGAAGGAACTAAGTGTTTTGGAAGAGGATATTAAAAGAGTGGAAGTAAGATATCAAGAATTTTTCAGATCTCTAGAAATTTTTCAGTTTTATGAAATGATCACTTTTCCTTTGTATTGCCATATTAAATTTATGGGACTGGTCTTAATTATAAAGAAAGTAACAAATATTACTTATTATTACATATCTATTATCTTCAGTTCCAGTATCCTGGAAACTTTTTAAATAAACATAGTTTACTTATAGAATCTGTTGGAAGATTCTTGTAAAGTTTATAGGCTGCCATGATGTAAAGTTATTGCTTTTGCTGTGTTTAAATGTAGTATGTTTTTAAAATTATTCACATAATTCTTTTGTTGATGTATAGATCATATTAAAGGATATGGATTCAATGTTTAGTAGATGTTTAGTATCTCATGTGACATTCTCAATTTGCTATATTTATGGTACTTGTTTGGATGTATGCTTGACCTAAGCCTGAATTAGCCAAAAATAATTCTACCTGATTATGCATTTTAGTGGTGACTTCAAATATGCTGTTTTTTCATTAATCAAATGTAGCACATAAAAAAGGAGGCTAGTTCTCAAAATGATTCTGAGACATAATTTATGTGATAATCATTGATCAAGAGGCCTTTTCCTGGCTTAATGATCAAAAATTAGAATTTAATGCATTGTTAAACACAGCTAATATTTTAATCAAGAAGAGTGTTAACTTTTCTTACTTTTGTAGAAATATTTTAAAGTAGAGAATTGCACAACCTGGGTTTTTTTGTACTTTAAAGCCTTGAAACTTGCCATCATATTTATCCTAGTATGTATCACTGGGTCATCACCTGGATGGATGATTAGCTGTTTCACTGTTCTCATAGTGTGCTGCATGTTTTCTTTCAAATATGTAGTTTTGCTTTGTCCATCTTGGCTTTATTATGGATGAACAATGTTATTAGAGAATTTATAGCTGTTTAATAATATGTACTACAGAAAAGATTGGCCTTTCATTTTCAGATTATTTTTACTTTGGTATTCTGTGGAGAAGAATTGTTGGGAAATATGAATGTTGAGACAAAAAGAGACTGATGAAAACCCAGGATTAAAAAGGAATATGTCAGGCTGGAACTGTAGCTTAGTGGTAGACCGCTTGCCTAGCAGCATGAGGCACTGGGTTCAATCCTCAGCACCACATAAATGTAAACAAATAAAATAAAGACATAAAAAAATAATAGCATTATTTTTTAATTGATACATTATAATTTTACATCATAGTGGGATTTGTTGTTGTATATTTGTACATGAATGCAATATAACAATATAATTTGGTTCCCAGTAGCCTATTTTTTTTATTTATACATTTTCTGGCTGGAGTATCTGCTTTAATTCAAATAATTGTACTTTCAGGAAATGAGTGGCTTATATTCTCCTGTCAGTGAAGATAGCACAGTGCCTCAATTTGAAGCTCCTTCTCCATCACACAGGTACAAAGTGCACATGCAATATTAGTCTTGGGATAGTTTTAAATGCAATGAGCTAAATCCCTAAGAAATTACTTTTGATCAGGATCTAGAAGTGAGACTTGGATGGTCCATCTTTTCTCTTAATGCTTTGGATTTTCATTTTAGGAATAATCAGTGACTAGAATATTATAATATTTTGAGTTTACAGTTGTATTAAGTTTTGGTGAATTTCTTAAAATAATGTTTTATATGTCTTGTGAATTAGAGTCAGAAGACATTCAAAATCTAAATTTTGAAATATGAAATGGTAGTATTGGGGGGAAATGTGTTAAGAACCTTGAAGTTTTTTCCTAACATTGAATGTTTTGGGGTGATCACTTTCCCTAGATTCAAAATAAGGGCAGTAGATAGATATGTTAGTTTGTGTCTCCCTAGTATTTTCTTATAACTTCCTGTTATTACCTTATAACTTCCTGTTATTTAATTTAATTAAGTCTTCATTTCTGGATATTCTGGTAGAGTAGGAATTATATTTGTTTTGTCATGACTGTCTCTCTAGATTTTAGAATGATACTTAGCTTAATTTAGTTGTTTATAAAATAAAATGCATGAATATGATTTCTTCTAGTTCTAAAATTCTATTTGATGAAATATATACTACTAAATTTTGAATTTTTGTGCTTGAAGTTTTGAAACAAGAGCAATTTTACATGAAGTAAGTCACTTGATTTATTATTTTATTAGTCCATTAGGATAATAATGGTCCAATGGAAACTTTCCAAAAAAAATTGGTTTTGGGTAACATGTGGATTATTAGGAAATCTAAATGCTAGTACAGTGAATTACATTAATATTCAAAACATTTATCAGTTCAGGAATACTATTTTGAGTTTGGTGCAGTATGTGGTGAAAGAGGTGCAGGGATATTTTAATTTAGGAGCATTCTTGAAAGTTTTATATTTTCCCCTAGTATGGAGAATCCTTAGGAGTTTTAGTTGATTTCATGGTCACCATAACTGTGTAATTAATTCAGCTGATTTTCCACCAGATTTAATTTTTTTTTTAAACATTCTGAAAGACTAGGCCTGTAGGAATACTGCAATCTTTCAGTGTGCCGTTCACTTTCTGATACATGGGAGCTTTGATAACGGTATATTTTATGAGTATTCAGTGAAGCAAAACTTGTTGTGTCACAAAACAATGTTATATTTCTTTGTTTATTTTTGTCTGTTGTGTYCAGGCCTTTGCTACTCAATCTGTTATTTGCTACTAATTGTTGAATTTTATGGACATATGACAACAGTATATTCACTGAATTGCTCTATTTATGGAATATCTCAAATGGGTTAAACACTGTTCTAGATGTTGAATCTAGCTAACAAAAGCCCTATTCTTTGGACATTTTGGGATATGCATATAGTGGGAGGTTTGAGGAGACACTAAACAAGCACATATGTAACCTGGTAGTGGTACATACAATGTTACCTTAGAAGAAATGGTAGACTCGTTGGGGGTTTGCAAGTGGATTTTCTTTCAGTTTGGTAGATGGACTTACCTTAGGACATGACATTTAAGCCAGTACATGCAAGAAAGTATAAGTATGATGGAAAGTCATTGGATAGTGTTGTGCAGGGTCTGGTTTAGATTTTTAAAATGTTTATTTGATTTCCTGTGTGAAAGATAGAGGAAAACATTATCTGTATTCTTCCCAACTCTGGGCCATTGGAAATAGGGAGTAAAGTTAGGAAGCACTGCAAAAGTCCAGAAGAAGGTAAATGATAGTTTGGATTAGGATTTTATTAGTGTAGGAGATAAGAGTAGTTAGTTAATTGAATTATAAGATAAAGTAGCAGATATTGTAAAAGATATAAAATTTTATAAGGTCTATGAAATATTGAGAATTGCTAAAGTTATTTGAAAAATTGTTGTCAAATGAAATTTAGGCTTAGTTATATTGGTTTACAGTTAAAGAAGGGCAAATAGACAATATTTTCTTTAAAAGAGTGTTTTGATATTTAAGCAGTTGATTCAAATATCACTCAGTGATTGAGATAGGTACTTGAGAATATGAAGTCACCCTTAAATACTCTTGTGTATATGACCCTTAAGATAAGAGAGGAACTCATTGCAGTCAGAAATGTTAGACTAATTTCTTCATTTTTAAGAAACAGCATTCAGTTGCAATTATATTAACCCTTTTTCTTTCATACATATAAGAATTATTACTTAAATAACTAGATAGCTTATGTATATATTCCTCTCTAAAAAATTTTTTTAGCAGAATTACTTTTAAAAGCCCTTTTCTAGATTTATTTTTCTATAATGAGGACCTTTTTATGTCAGGTCATTGACTCCCTTAGATAGATTCTGGGTTTAAACTATGTATGTAAATGAAATGAAAAACAAAAACCAAATAGTGGAAACCTTTGCCTGCCCTAATTTGAGTAGCCTAATTGTCATATCCTGTCTTTTGCTCTTCCTTATGCTGTTAGATATCTGTATCACATGGAGTCTAGCAATGGTCTTTTCACCTGTCCTCTAACACATTATTGCCAGAAATAGGAACTTGTTTGCCTGCTTGAAATCTTTCAGTTGTTATTTATTATATAAGTTGTTTGAGATCTTTTTATATACACCTACATGTATACTTTATATAATCATTTTATCTCTATCTTACAATTTTTTTTTTGTACTTTAAAATTGAGTGTAGCTGAGTACAGTGGTGCACACCAATGATCTCAGCTACTTGGGAGGCTGAGGCAGGAGAATTGTAAGTTTGAGGTCAGCTTGGTCAATTTTGCAAGACTCTGCTGCAAAAATGTAAAGGACCTGTAGTTCAGAGGTAGAGAGCCCTTGGGTTTAATCCCTGGTAACATGAGGGAAAAAAACAAAAAAAGTCAGTTGAATATTACTCTCAAAGCACGATGTCAAGGTAAACCAGGCATGATGGCACAGGACTGTAATCCCAGCATTTTAGGGAGTCTGAGACAGGAGAACGCAAGTTCAAGCCAGCCTCAGCAACTAAATGAGTCTCTGTGTTAAATTAAAAAATAAAAGGGCTAGGAATATAGCTCAGTGCCCCTGGGTTCAACCCCAGTACCAAAAAAGAAAGGGTGAAAAAGCCGTGGGTATTTTTGCTGATACTGCATATTTCTTTTGCCAAGAAACCTCTCCTGGATTAATTTAATGGATTCATATACTGAGTAGTTTCTCCCTCATTAAGGTCTTCTCCTCTTCCTCCAAGTATCCAACCAAGAGTGAAATCTTCTCTATTCTTTTTATAGGTCCATCTAAAAAATGAGGGAAGGTGTAAGGGGAGCAGGGGATAAAATTAACCACTTTAAAAAATCCTGTTTTTTGTTCTGTTTCTGTAGTAATGTGTTAGTTTGTGTATATTTTCCATGCTTTATGGTACTCTTGTGAATATTGTATTTTTCTTATACTTGTACATTTTATGTGAACCTTTATACATAACAGAGATTTAAAATGTTTTTGAACAAATATATACTTAGAATGTCACTTAATTTTTATAGTTTATGACATTTTGATTGAAACATGACCTGTAGTATACTTAATAAATAAACTAATTACTTTTATCTTATTAAAAAAACTGTCAGCTAAGCTTCGTTGGGGAGGAGAGAGGGTGAGTTTATAACTATTTCCTTGATAAAACCATTTGAATTGGTTTTAACCATCCTTGCCAAATTTTCCATATTTGAATTGATTCAAACCAAAAAGATTTTTCCTCGCAGGGCCTTTAAAATCTGCTTTAGATTTTGATGAATGGTCTTCATGATTGTATAAAGTACAGTTAACATTTTATTGTTAACTATTGTTAAGTTGCATGTGGTCATATAATGAGTAATTTAGAGACCAGTAGGCAGATCTTGAAATTTACCTGTTGCAAAGTGGAATTGGTCCCTTTATTGGAGAGAGTGATTACAAGCATACATGTCCTCTCCTTTCTTCTAGGGGATTAATATTCCAGCACTTAAAAACTTTTTAGCTCATTTAAATAATATAGTGAAACTTTCTGACATTTTATTTCTGGCAAATATGAGGACAATGTAAATTTTAATTAAAACATTTTTCCCTCAGTTTTTAATAGATGTAAATGGTGTGGGCTCTATCTGGATTAACAAAAATGGATTTCAGACCCTATATTTAGTTTATAGGTGTAAATGAATAGGAAACAAAGCTAAGTAGCTTATTACTAAACCTGTGAAGCCAGAAGCATAATATAAACCTGACCTTGGTTCTTGTATTAGCTGTAAGTATGGTGGAATGAGAAACATTCACATATATTTCCTTAGAACTTAAATCCTATTCAAAGTCATTACCCCAGTATTTTTGCTTGTAAATTTCTATGTTCTTCACATCAATGTGATTTCTGTTTTAGGAAAAATTGTTTGGTAAATGCTTTAATCTTTGTCTTTGACCTAAACAAATACTTCAGAATTGTCCATTATTAGTCTGTTCCCTATGTTTTTGGAACTTCAGAGAACTTGTTTTGAAGATAATGTGTTAGTTGAGTTTTTTTAATCTGGTTCAGCTGGATTTGCTTTAGTATAATCCATACAGTCACTGGAGGTAATTTTTATCCTGTTTCCATAAGATAAAATAGTAAGTAAATGCAATATAAATACAAGTAGTAAAGATTTTCTGATCCTTAATCTCTCGTTTTAAAAATGATTTTACTGATAGAAATTTGCTATTGATTTAATTCTTTGGAAGCGGGGGAAGACATACATCAGTCAAAGTTCTAAATTGCTTTGTAAAGGTTTCTGTGGGAGAGAAAGAGATTTATAAATAAAATATAAGTGAGAATTTTATGTAATTTAATTTTATTAATTGTTCTATCAAACATTTTGATACTTTTCACTAGTGTTTCTATTATTTTGGCAAAGGCCCAAATGAAACAAATTATAGGGATAACACAAGGGAAAAGCAAAGAGTCACTTTATGTATGCTAGGAATATTTAACAAATATTAAAACCGTATATGTAGAAGAATAACCGAAA